GTACAAATGTGCTTTACACAATTGATGTATGTATGGATTGTGATAAGAGTTGTATGAGCCCCTAATAAAATGATTAAATAAATAAATAAAATAAAAATGCAAAAAATAAAATAAAATCTTACCTCAGTATAACAACGGTTTGTTCTAATGTGGCAATGTATGATACTCACCTTCCCAACACGATCACTGAAGACAAAATGGTGCATAAGGAAATGTGGTGAAGAAAACTGATGGTACCGGCTATCAAAAGATAATACTGTCTGGGGTCTTAAAGGCTAGCAGGGAAGCAACAAAGCCCACATGAAAGAAGAACACTGTGTGATCATGTGGTGTCGATGGAAATAGATACCAGAAGTTCAAAAACAAGCAATCAAATTGAAGTGAAGGAGCACAAAGTGGAGACCCCAAACCCACCTGTAGGAAGCGACACATGGAAGGGATACATCCAGGGTACAATGTAGCACTGATGAGACACGTACTATCCTTTACTTCTTTAATATTTCCTCCCCCCATCATGGCCTTAGTTTTACCTCATTCATTTTGCTAGCCCTGTGTATGGTCATTTGTATACTGTATATGCTCGTGTAGAAGCAGAGTTTTTCAGCACATTTTAAATGCAGTTTTTGTGGTAAAATTAGATGCCTCGGCTGATATTCGGGTTGGCTTATACTCCAGCATATACGATAATTAAGATTATTTGATGCATGAAATCCAAGATAGATAAACCCCTCAGAAACAGCAATATGATTCCCAGAGGGTACATGAAGAGGTGGGAAAAGGGGGTGCAAGGGGGAACTGATAGCAACGACCGTATAATCCCACTTGAGGGGTACAAACAACAGAATTGTAGGTGGATACATTAAATAAGATACAGCAAAAATATAATAATAATATACATTATAGGTTCATGGGGGTGGTAGAGTGAGAAAGGGAGGGGATAAAAGGGAGCTGGTATTAAAGAGTTCAAGAAATAATATGTTTTTAAATGATCTAATGGCACTATGAATTGTTATAATATCTGTAAAAGCTCCTAATAAAATAAAAAAATTTTTACACAGTGTTGTGTCAGGTTAGAAAGGCATACAGTGCTTAAAATGGCAGTAATGCCAAAACTGAGAGTAAAGACTGGCCACCAGCTCACGAGTCTACACGTGACCCATTATAACCTTAGCTGCGGCAGAGCCAGCAGCTCGTCCAGCTCAAAGTGTCATGGACATTGAGTTGGTTCACTGTACAATTAGCCAAAGTTCCGTCCAACCTAACCAGTATCTTGTTTTCATAGTTTCTAAAGAATGAAACTTAACATTGCTTGTATTTTTTACTGCATTTGTTACAAAATTGTTATAGTCTTAATTCTGCCTAGAATTTTGCCAAAATTCTAATAGGGTAAAATTTACCTCAAATGTAGAAGCTCCGGTAGCACAGTGGTTTTAAGTTGGGCTGTGAACCTTATGGTTGGCAGTTCGAAACCACCAGCTGTTCCTTGGGAGAACGATGACACTTTCTACTCCTGTAAACAGTCTCGGAAACCCACAGGGGTCGCTATGCATCAGCATTGACACGATGGCAGTGGGTTTTTTGTTTACCTCAAAAAAATTAAAATCATTTTAATTTCTCTAAGAGGAATAAGGTCAAAGATGTTCAGGAGACTATTTAAAGTCAGTCATATTGAAAGTAAATGGATTAAATAAATTTTTATGATAAAGCAAAATATGTCAGCAAGATTATTTTTGAAAAGGTAAATAGAATATTTCTGACAATAAATTCTGAAGGTGCAGTCATAAAGGTAGAGGGTCAGAAAAGGGAAGAAGATATATCCCCTCCTATAAAAGTGGTTGCCACCAACCGATGTTTGCCAAAGGGTGCACATAGCACACCTAATGACTCCAGATCTTCTCATTGTTTAAGAAGTACCGACTTTTGTGAGTTAAATGGTAAGACACTGCCAAGACTGTAAGAGTAGAACTGTACACGAAGCAGATCTTAACATCCTCATTTTGTAAGCTGAGAGGAAGAATGCCTTGGAAATACTGTACTAGTTCTTTGTATTTCACAACACACAGCTTTAAAATGGGTTAAAGGAAACTTTCGAAAAGTAATACTTTAGTGAGAAAATGCTAATGGGCCAAGAAAAATTTACCATATATACTCCAGTATAAGCAAACTCAAATATCAGCCGAGGCACCTAATTTTACCACAAAAACTGCAACAACAACAAAATGTGCTGAAAAAACTTAGCTTCTACACGTGTATATATGATATACGTAGCTTCCTCAGGAGTCAGATAGTATGCAACCCCATAACTATTCCAGAGCAAGTGGTACAGCCCACCCAGATCGCAAGTGAGGCTCAGGAACGCTCATGTCAACATCTCAAAGAAAGCCTGAGCCGGGAGACCCAGTGCCCAGCAGATATGAGCATTTCAGGGCCAATGACACTGGCCCTCAAAGTTAGCAACTGACCAGTTATTCTTATAATAAAATAATTATTTTAATGAAGTATTTGAAATAATTTCAAACATCTGATCAATAAGATTATACACAAATATGAGGATATGCTGCAGTTTACAAAAAATAAAGCTAAGCATTTAAATATATAAAACCCAACAGAGTATATTATCTCTTCAAAATACTCTTCACACATAATTTACAGCATTGTATGTAATAACTTGCTAAAACAAAACTTTTGACTGATGCAGAACTTAAGAGTAATATAGAATATAGCCATAACAGCCCCACTGGGGAGGAGAGAATAAAGCATAATATATACGTCAGGCTTTGCGCGCCACTCAATCTATGTCTAACAAGCACAGCTTCCCCATTTTTAAAACTTGTTAGAGGATTTACTTACCCTGCATGTTTATATTCTACCTACAGCTATTCTTTTTTCATTCAAGTGGGATTTTTTTTTTTAAAGAAAAATGAGGGTTTGCAAAACAGCAGCTTCCTCTTCAGATGAATATAGAACACGTTCTGACAGTACATCTATCTTTCCATGGTCCCCCAAAGTGAAATGCTGACATTCCACTTTGAAGTACAGACTCCAAAATGGAATCCTAATTCCAAAGATTTCTCGTCAAGTTGGTCACTTTTAATACACTGAGATGTTTTAAACATAGAGTAAACTTTTATGAGAAAAGGAAGAAAAGGTAACTTACAAAACCTTACACTTCTTAGAATTTAAAGAATACAAATAAAATATAACTTCTTCCTTTAAAAGAAGAGTATTTGAAAGGGTTTGCTCCACTTTCCTTAGTATTTTCCCCATTTCTTCAATAACAGCAATGCAACACACACACACACACACACACACACACACACACACACACACACTCTCAGGTTGCTTTGTCATTCCCACTCTCCCCAGGCCCGTCCTGGGCATATGCGGCAGACTGTCTGTGCTGTATCTCTGTTTTCATCTCCCTGCATCAATTTGAACTCAAGGCCCCACACGTCCTTCCCATTCTCTCCACCATTTCCATTTCTCATCATGTTATTTCAGCAGCTTCAATTTTAAGGCTCCCCTGACAAGGATGTCCCCTCACTTGGTATCATGGTTGAGATGAACCAGAGAATAGCAACCCCAGGCACAAATGATCTCCATTTGTCTCCGTTCTGACACCACAGGGCTCACGTAGCCAACCCATCGTGGGCCTTGCTTTCTAACTTGCTACCTACAACTTTAAGCGACTGCCATAGTTAGCTAAGCAGATTTTGTTCCCAAGCCAGACCACCTAACCTAGCCCAGGAGACAGAGTGAGTACAGGAATTTAAACACACTTTTCTTAGGGCAATGTGACTCTTCCTTTCTTTCCCCAATGAAACCTGAATTAGACTGGTCTCAAAGAAACCTTACAGGCTACAACCTTACAGCAAATGAAGCAGGTCGAAACAGACAGGGCGCCATTGATTTTGACAAGGCAAAGCTGAATCCTGGTCATCAGGAACCCCAGGGGGTAATGGCCCAAGATTAGTAAATCTGAAACTGTAAACAATGGCCTCCCATATTGGCGATTATTTCCCCAAAATGGGTGTTTCACGAGAGTGCAACAGTGCTCTTTTTCACGTCTTTGGCAGTAAACAGCATGGAGGCTCTGCAAGAGAGCGGAGTGTCACTTCAGAAGGGCCAGGTACAGAGTCTGCGAGTACTTCATCTCCCTCTCCTGCTCCATGCAGAATATCAAGTCCCTGAGGCAAACTCTCGTGATTCTTGGACGAAGCAACTGTTTGGTGGCTGTCAGGCTGGGTGTCCCAGAAGCAGTAACGTTGTCTTTGAGACCCTAGAGAAAATAAAGGGGGAAACTGTTTACGATAAGGAATCCTTTATTGGTGAATGACCCTGTCGCTGGTTAAGGGGCTGGATTTGACATGATGCTGTCCTCCAGCAGCCCTCCGGGCAGGCAGCAGGCTCCTCAGGAGAGACAGCTTTCCACTATCACAAACAGCTAGTCTCGGAACGCCACGGGGGACGACTATGACTGTCATAATGAGTTTGGTGTGTTAGGGGGCTATGGCAGGCAAATGGCCACCACATCCTGCTTCAGAAGTCTCTAATGGTTCCCCTCTGTCCATAGTAAACTACCTGAAATTTTACTAGGCATTGAGATTTACGTTGAGTACTGTTCACATATTATCATTTTACTATAGATCAGATTAACATATTAACATCCACATATCACAACCTTGCAGCAAGTTAGGCACATGCTGTCCACATTTCTCGAGAGAAAGCTGGATTCTGATGGGTTGGGTATACCATCTGTGCAAGGTCACACAGTGATCTAGAGAGAGTGCTCTTGGTCACTGTGCTGTGTTGTCACCAATTTTTTTTTTTTTTAATCTCAAAAAACAAACTCAGTGCCATCAAGTCAACTCTAACTCAGTGAGTGGCCCTATGGGACATGCTCCAACTGCCCCTGTGGGTTTCCAAGATTCCAACACTTCAGGAGGAGAAAACCTCATTCTCCCGCAGAATAGCTCATGGATTTGAACTGCTGGCCTTGTGGTTAGCAGCCCAACGTGTAACCCACCAAACCATCAGGATGGTTTAATATTACCAAACCCGGTATAAACCCGCCACCCTGGCTTTTCTCCAGCCTTAGTTTGCATCAGTCCTCACAAAGCATCTTGGCCTCAGCCACACTGTTCCTCTACCAACAGATGGAGGTCCATGAAGACCCACTGCCAATGCTCCCTCCCTCTGCAGCTCCCCATGGAATGCTCCCCATGGGCCTCCCTTTCACACTGCATCAAACGAGTCTGTATATGCCCCTCCCTGCACCATCTGCTTGCTGTAGACAAGAACTACCACTTCCATGCCCTCCAGGGTGTAGGCTCTGCACAGCACCCCCCCACACAGATTATCCCCAAGACCACCTGAATTTAATGAATTCACTAAACACAGAACCAATTAGTTCTAAACATTAAAAAAGGTAAGAAGCACAATAGTTCTCTATTAAAATTGTTTCTATGCATTGCTGTCTACAAACACTTGTTTAAAATATCAAGTAAAATTGGCAGATTAAAAAAAATCCACAGAAACACAGGGAATCCAGGGTGGATGATCCCTTCAGGACCAGTGGTGTGAGTGGCGATACTGGGAGGGTAGAGGGAGCTGGAAAGGGGGAACCGATTACAAGGATCCACGGGACCTCCTCCCTGGGGGACAGACAACAGAAAAGTAGGTGAAGGGAGACGTTGGACAGGGCAAGTTATGACAAATAATTTATAAATTATCAAGGGCTCATGAGGGAGGGGAAAAAATGAGGACCTGATGCCAGGGGCTTACGTGGAGAGCAAATGTTTTGAGAATGATGAGGGCAATGAATGTACAAATGTGCTTTACACAATTGATGTATGTATGGATTGTGAGATGAGTTGTATGAGCCCCTAATAAAACAATTAAAAAATAATCCACAGAATTCTCAAAAGATAAATTTGTCAAAGTGCAATCTTTGACTCTCTTTTTAACTGTACTTTGTTCCAAAACCATTGTAAGAGGGCAGACAGCTCGCTTTTCTTCATCCAAAAGTCGTACATAAGAAAAGGTGTTTGCTTCATATAGAAGCAGAGCTTCCAGTTCTGTCTCTACTCTTTTACAACTACCAGATTTTCGTTTCTCTTTACCTTTTTGGGCTTTGGGTTTTGTTTGTAAAGAGGAGAGGGGCAACCTCCAAAACACATGGATGGTCCTGCTTACCGTATATACTCAGTATAAGCCGACCAGAATATCAGCCGAGGCACTTAATTTTACCACAAAAACTGCATTAAAAATGTGCTTTTAAAAACTCAGCTTATACTCGAGTATATATGGTAATTCTATGCCTGTTAACAAGAGGCGCAGGGGGCACTTTACCTAGTGGACAAATGAACTTTAAAAGTTACTACCCAGTTTTTTAGGTGTACGATAGATACCACAAGCGCATTTCAATACTTAGATTAGGTTAAGCTTCTCCCCATGTAACTATGGAGCACGTTTTGAAAAGTTCACATTTTAGAAGAGAGAAAGGAGGAGAGATGATTCCAGTCAGCACAAAGGCCTGGTTTTAAACAGAGCCAGTCTCATCGCCTGAGCAGTTCTTGGTAATGCGTGTAATATGTGTGTGTAACTGCCAGAGGTCAGCCTCTGTAGCATTAGCTAAGACGGATTTCAACACCAAAACATCACTGTTTCCGGCGACCATCACCACTCAAACACTAAATACTGTAAAATATTACCATCAAAATATGTCCATAAGATTTTTGCAGAAAAAAAAACAAAAAGATTTGTTGTTGCAGAATGGGCTCTGGAAAACTGGATAAAACCAGTCAGAAGAAAGTTAGAATAACTTGTCATTGGCAGTGAATGGTAAGTTTTTTTTTTATATATACATGAGTCATGTCTTGAACTACATAGGTCATTTGATTGAAGGCATCTTCCTTAGCCACAAGTTAGATTTATTATGCTAAAGCTGAATCTTCATGTGTTTATAATGTTTCCTACCAAAAGTTTGCCTAAAATAAAATTGTTCGGTTTCTTCTAAGACTTTAAAAATTAAATGTCTCCACAATCCCACTTCTACTTAAGGAACCATAAAAGTTCATCACAAAGACATTTACAAGACCGTTAAAAGCACCACCATTCCCAACAGTGCTACCTGGAAACCATCCAAATGCCCATCAAGAGTAGAAACAAATACTCCAAAGAACTAATGGACCCCACAAAGCTCAGGCTTCTCGCCTCTGCGACCAGAAGAACTGGACAGTGCCCATCACCACTACCAACAGGGATCTGAAAGGGATCACAATAGAACAGTGGTTCTCAATCTTTCTAATGCAGCCACCCTTTCATACAGTTCCTCATGTTGTGGTGACCCCAACCATAAAATTATTTTCGTTGCTACTTCCTAACTGTAATTTTGCTACTGTTATCAATCGGCATGTAAATATCTGATGTGGGATGTATTTTCATTGTTACAAACAGAACATGATTAAAGCATAGTGATTAATCACAAAAACAATATGTAATTATAAACTGCTAAATATTTTTTTTTGTTGTTGAAATATTTATTTCTAATGACGAATCAATGAAATTTTGTCTTGAAGTATGGTGTAGGATGGGTAACAGTCTTCACGGTGGGTACTCACATAAGGGCTTATGTGCACGTGGGCAAACCCTCCTGGAGAGGGATAGAAGTGTGGTCTTAGTTCCTAAGTGCATCAGAAATACGTGTTTTCTGATGGTCTTAGGTGACCCCTTTGAAAGGGTCGTTCAACCCCCAAAGGGATTGTGACCCACAGGTTGAGAACCGCTGCAATAGAAGATCTTGAATAAAGGAGGAGAAAAATGTGGAACAAAATTCAAAATCATAAAAACGTACAAGCTTATTGGTCTGAAAAGACACCGGTGGAACCCTTAACACTGGCCTTTACTCAGCCATTCTTCAAGTCTGGAATTGAGCTTACTCCAATGGCTTAACGTTCAGTCAGACAGGCCCATAGGTTGAATGACACCCCCAGGGAGATGGGCACCCACTGTCACAAAACAAAATGTGTGAAGTATTGAATGGAAAACTACTTTACTCTGGAAACTTCCACTCAAATCAATACAAGGTTTAAAAAACGGAGGCAGGGAAGAGTGGTGTGAACAGTGATGCGTTCATAAACTGGAATACTACCAATCAAGAACGAGTTGTGTAACAAGACTATCAGCACAAACTCAGTTTCAAATGAAAGGGCCCAGACACAAAGGAGTATGTGTTGTATGATTCCATTTGTATCAAGTTCTCAGTCAGGCACAGCGGTGGAAGTCACGACAGCGATTTCCTTTGGGGGAGAGGAACCGTGACTGGAGGAGAGAGGGGAAGTTGTCGGAGGTTCTAGTGATGTGCTCCCAGCACTGTCTAACCTACACAAGCTGTGAAGGCTGTGGGTCTCTGCATCGGTGCTCTAGAACATAAATGCAATGAAAACTGCCACAAAAGAGAAATCTTGTCTGGGGAGGAAACTAAACGATGGGGGAGAAACAAGGGGGGAAAAGAGGAGAGGAAATAAAGCAAAGTTGTTCAACACATAAGAAAACGAGCTAGTCATCTGGGTAAGGGACAAAGGGGTCACAGTTCATGTTTGTCATGTGACAAGCCTGAAGATCCAGGGGAAACAGTCATGGTACAGCTGCCAGCACAGGGTTGAAAAGGAGGTCATTCCAACAGGATGCTGCAGAGGGCCAGAGGCAATGTTATAAATGAAACAAGCCCCGAGGGATCTCTAGTAACCCAACAGAAATGCCTTTCATAATTCACAACTCTACACAGGTGAGAGCATTTTCTTTCCCAAATAGTGACTGACTCAGAGAGTCAAACTGTCTTGAACCTGGGTATAAATACATAGCATTCTTATTCCCATGCTTGTAATTCAAGAAAGCCCACAACTCTTGACTCATCTATTTAATAGTGACCTGCTGAGAATAATCAGCTACCTCTCAGTTATCCATGGTAACGAGGCGGAGAGTGCATGGCTGGCTGGCAGCCATAAAAATCCCAAATCTACCTTTCACTCTGCTGTAGGTTTCTGCCTCCCACCAAGAGCTTTCACTGAAGTTGATAAAACTGGCTTATGGCCCCCGTACAGTGCCCATACCTAAGAGCACAAATGCAGCCAAGGACCCAGGGCAGGTGAAGAACGAAAAGGAGGCTTCAGAGGCGAAAGACTGCTTCTGAAATCGATCAGGTCATCCCTTAAGCTATGTAAAAGGCTTTTAGTGACTACATCCTTTGAGGTGGGTAGCTGATTCCTCCTTCCAGTT